AGGTTGCCACCTGTTTAAAAATTTTAAATTAATTTAATTGATAATATAAATTAAATATTGCACTACAAGTGCCAAACTAAAGAGGTTTAGGAAAGTTTACTGGCAAACATTTTTAAGAGGAGGGTTGCCACTTGTTTGAAAATGTTTGTTCAATTAAGTTGATAAAATAAATTAGATATTGCAACACGGATATTAAATTAAAGATGTTTAAGCAAGTTTACTGTCTGAAATATTTTTGAAGTGGTTTGCCACCTATTTGAAAAATTTAATTCAGTTAAATTGACAAGGAAAGATAAATATTGAATTAGTACATCTTTGAAGAAAGTGAGCAATATGTAGACTCGAGTTATAAGATTATAAATTAACTTCCCAAGAAAAAGTCGATACTTTACCTACTTTCTAAATATGTACGAGGTTTGTGAGGGTGTAACCAGACAAAAATACTTTTAAGGCGATATTTAAGCTGCTTAAAACATGCACTTTATTATACTAAAATTCCACAGGCTATAAAACTGCATACCCCAAAAATTCAAATTAAAAAGTTAAAATATTTTATTAAAACACTTCTATAAAAAATAAAGCCAGAAATTTAACTTTAAAAACCTTGCAAGTATTTAACAAAAATCACCATGCAGCACCATCCACATGTATTTATGTGCTTATTATTTCGACTTTTTGTGCCAAGAGTACACATACACTTGCGCATACTTATGTGCAATATAACACATCGATTTGCCATTTCCATGCAATCGTATGCAGACTTCGATTCGTATGCAATTTCGTGTTAGTCCAAATAGCAGCAACAAAGTGCGTTGCGCTTGACTAGAGATGGGCCAAAAATTTGCAATTGTAAAGAGATTGCTCATTTTCATTACACAATTGCAGTTAATTTCCATTGCAGCATTACCTGTTCGTTTAGTAGCAGTCACTAGCTTCTGTATTGATGCAGTTGTTCAGCATCAGCACAATGTGGCCAACAAATGGTGCATTTTACTCATGTGTACAACATATGATATAAGGCAATATTTGATGCTGACGTTGAAGTTGACAATACCATAACACGATGTCACATTGTCACATACTGCAATGCTCTTTTACCGACCGTACATATGTACATATGTATCACAAATGTAGCATGGGTAAATACACCTTCCTGTAGCATTTTCCAAAAAAAAAAGCGAAAATCGATGCCGACAGCACTGGCTCTTTGGTTGCCAACAGCGGTACCAATTCCCTGGCAGGTCGCGTGAGCCCAATGAATGCATAATTGTTTCACAATGCAACAAATGCAGCAAAGCGGTAACAAAGCAATGGCAGCAGCAACGGGAACAGCAGTCAGTCCAAGCAATTTGCATATAGCAAAACTGTACTCGTATTCCTTCCGGTCCTTTTCGTATTTTAACTATTCCGTCTGTCGCTCGTAGTGGTTGCTGCTGCTCATGTTGCATGTAAATATGTATGTACCCGTATATGGTACTGCCTGCCTGTCGGCATTTGTCTTCTCCGGGGAAATCAGAAAATCATGTACGGGATAGTCGAGTCGCATCGAGTCGAGTGCTCTACGCTTGTCTCGTTGAGTAAATTGCAAATGAAATGGAGGCCATTCTGCTCGCTTTGGCGGTTGGCTGTACATAATTGACTAACTGCATATTTTTTTGCATAAAGGGTAAAAGAGAAAAGAGAGAGAGAGAGGGTGTGCTCTTAGCGTAGCAGGTGACCATATTAATGTTTTTTTTGTTTTTGTTAAGAAAATATAAATATTATTTTCGTGGCGTTCGAAATTGTTCATAAAAATTGCAATCCCTATTAATCATTTGTGCATAGGTGGTATTTTTTGCAAGCACTGTGAACAAATTTGTGGAGTGTAGAACAGCGCGGAGGGTTTTTTATACTTTTTCTCGCAACACAGATGTCTGATTTTTTTGAAGTACATAATTTTGTATTTTCATAAAATATTAACTAAATTCAGTTCTTTACTAGAGTTTTTTCTTACGTGGAGGAGTTAGTCTGAATCATGAAGAAAGTGTGGTAAATTGTAAGCTTTTTAGGTTGTTTATGTTTGCCATAAAGTATAAACAGAATCAAATCGCCCAGCGAATTTCGTCGGAGCAGAGTTCGCTGGTAAAATTAACACACTTATTCTGTATCAAGAACGATAGGCTACACGAACGATTCGTCTGCAGAGGAATGGTTTCAAATATGGTTCGGCGGCATCATTCTTGCCATTTTAAACGCAACCGAGGCCATTGCAACGTAATATATGAAAAGCAAGACGAAGACAACCGATAGAGTAATAAAATCAGTGATCAGTGATTTTAAATCACAATCAGAGATGTTGTCGTCGGCAGACGAATCGTTCGTGTTGATTATCGTTTGTGATACAGAATAAGGCTGTAAAAACACTACAAAAATTTTACAAAAAAATGCGTTTAAGAAAAACTTCGACGAAGAGAGACGCGTAATCATAGATTTATACTTGGCCATGCGCATGCGCTCTCCATTAGCTGAACTTTAGTGACCGCGTACCCTCTTACGAGGCGCGTTGCCAGCTTTTGCATCTAAAATCTTTGCATAAATAGTGGAAGTGCTTACCTTTCCGGTAATTTTCTCGTCAATGGTTTGATAGGCGCAATTGATCCCTCTTAGAAAGAGTATCTCTCAATGTGTCTTTACACAGCCTTCGGCGCGATCCACTATTCTATTTAGGATTTTCGAAATCTAAGAATATATATATTAAAGATGGTACCTTATCCTTCCAATACAAGGAGTTACCACGGAACAATCCTTACTTTACTTTACAATCACTTCAACTAGTATTTAAGCTGTTTGGCTATAGTCGGTAAGAATTGTTATTCATTTGACTTAATTTAATTGAATAAATATAAATAAGTAAATATTGTTATTGTACATTTCACTATATTTCAACATAATATCCCAGTGGGAAAATGGAATGTATAGTTATCAAAAAAAAATAATAATCAGTAAAACAGCCCTTTTCACAATCGAAAATGCCCACAGTGGGGCGATGTCCTAGGTAAAATGGGGCATTCATTTTTGCATTACCTAGTAACGAGGAATGAATGTTATTTAATATGAATTTTTTGGGACTTTTTGATTACATTAGAATGCTGATTACATAGCTAACAGTAATGGAATCAAGAACTTATAAGAAACCAATTACATTATTTATCACGCATGTTATGCATTACTACTTTTCCCACTGCGATGTACTATCTTTCACGAACCCCATATTTCACTGTCATAGTAAAATCAAATTATATTTGCTTAATACGATTCTCTTTCAAAAAGTGTGCAATTTCCGCAAATTCAATCCTAGCTGTAATCGGTTAATATGCAAAACTTTAAACTAGTAATTTTCCAGCAGGGTTTTCGTAATATTTGTTATTGTGTTATATATGTATGTACGTACTTTTGCTGGTATCACTGTAAACATGCCACTTTTGTATTTCATTTTATTGTTGTTATTGTTAACCTCAGCTGTCATGGGCGTTGATGGTGCATATTGTTAGACATGACCCAAAAAATGGCCTTACGACTTTTCGGGGTCATTTGGCATGCGATAAATTTCGAAAATTAATGTCAAATGAACAGTGTAACAAGAGTGTGCGAAGTGCGGAAAGTATGAGGAGTTAAAAAGGCGATGAAGGGCAGGTATAAATAATGAAAAAGCGATTGCGGTCACCGGCAGAATGAAAGTACATACATGATGATGAGCCTAATAAAAAACAAGATGAAGCGTTACAGCATGAGTAATCTGGGCGAGCATGAGGCCAAATTTTTTTTTATAAAATAGGCAATCTAAGGGCGAATGTAGAATGAAAGGTTGACCAGCAAAGAAAGTGGAACACTGCGGCTGCTGTGTCAACTAATCACCTACAATGTGGGCGACCACAGCTTAGCACAAAAGCTATATGTATATACAGTGGTGGTCAAAAGTTGATGAATGGTATTTCCTTTTTAAAATATACAATAGTTTTCAGGCTAATTTTTTTTTTTTCGATACTCTTTATAGATATGTAGTTCATGCTTTAACAAAAACTATATAAATCAAACTTTCAAAACTGCAAATTTCGAGCTTTTTAGCCATGCAGTTTTTTTGGGTATGCAGTTAACACGCTTATAAAATTCTAGTAAAATAAGTATAAGTTTTGAGCGGCTGAAAAATCGCATAGAATTTTAATCATTTTTTTTTGACATCGTTTTGCACTTTTTTCCATATAATAAATGAATTTCTTCTGGAAGAATATGCGGAAGACCATTTGTGGAAAAAATTCAAAAAAATTCAAAGCCAGTTTTCCTACATTTCGCTATTTTAAAAATCAATGCAGTTTTTTAGCCGCTCAAACTTGTAGCCAAAAAAATTCTAAAAACTCGAGGTTAAAAAGCTCGAAATTTAGATAAAAATTTATGAAAGTTTACTAAATTCTGTATAAAGTTTGATGGCGTGATTTATATAGTTTTTGTTAAAGTATTAACTATGTTTTTATAAAAAAATATCAAAAAAATTTTAGCATGAAGAACATTGTAAATATTTATTAAAAACGAAACACCATTCATCCATTTTTTACCGCCACTGTAACCACTTGTAAATATATTTGCATGTAACAGCCAACTATGATAGAAAGTAGCTTGAAAGGATTCTCGTTTTATGTGCATGCAGACACTTGCATGCTACACCAACACATATGTACAGACATACACCTACATTGTTGCATGCTCCACGTACACTTTACAATATCTCGGCTCTTTGTTGCTGCTGCTGACTAATACCCAAAAGTAGAAGTCAGCTCAGCTACTGGCAATTTGCCGCTACTTTAGCCGATAACTGCCTGTCTGCCTTGCTACCAAAAAAAAAAAAAAAACATTACACGCTCACTATGTTAATCCGATTTTCTATTTTGCTTTCTCTTTCTATTCCCCAACTTCAACCAACACATGTCATCACCGCCACCACCACATCACCATATTCGCCACCGCAGCACTTGTGGTCTTTACAGAAATTCGGCAATTCAAGAGGACATCACATGCTATTCGACAAGGGTCTACAATTCGGCATCGATTTGGAAAATTTCGAACAGGACGAACCGGCGCGACCACAAATCGACACTAAAGATGTACTAGCGTTCACATCAACAGCTGCAGCATCATCAGAACCGTTGGCTGCATCATCGCTTACAGCCGTGGTGGACATGAATGGCAGTAACAATGAGTGGCACGCACAGGTAGCAACAGACCGTATAAGCGCCATCATCAGCACAACTACAGCAGCAACAACAACAACATTTGGCAAGGCAACACATGAGGCCGACTCACCACATTCACCGCATGCCAGATGGCAGAAGCAGGGTGGCGAGGCCGAGGCCACAGCGGCACCCGGTAATCATGTCACGTACGAATGGCGCATCAGTGACTGGTCCGAATGTTCGGAGAAGTGTGGCATTGCGGGCGGCGCAGGTTTGCGGGTAAGTGTTGCACATTTTTATTTCAATAGGTTGCTGTAGGTTGGAAAATTGAAAACTGGCCTAGGTGGTGCACAGTGGGACGTCGGACAAGTATTAAATGTCAAATTTTTTCAGACGAAATTTCGTTGAAACGAATGAAAATCGTAAAAAATTTTCTTCCTAGATGTAAAAAAGTTACATTTGTAAAAAATTAAATTGATTTTTATTCCTACTTGCATGGCTTCGCGTTTTTCTGATGCCGTCTACCGAATGACTACAATATAATCTATTAAAACTCTTTTGTGGCGTTGCGTTTTTTCGCCTGTTCCTGATATCATCCGCCGAAGAGCAATTATAGTTTCTCAAAAGTATTTTATGAGCCTTTGATTGTTTGATAAAATAAATATTTCGATGCCCACTAAAAAATAACCGTAGTGCTACAAAAATTAGAAGAAAATTAACCGATTTTTTGATCAAGTCTAAGGGCTAAGTGATCTGTTTTAGAAAAAAGAGATAAAATTAAATATCACAAAAATGAAAAGAGATAGCGAAATAAATGTAACGATGATTTACAACTTTTGAAATTGAGAATTCAGCAAAATTCAGTCTCGTTGGGTAGAAGAATTGCCCTGACATTTAATATTACCTTCAAAAGTAGGTTGCACTTTTTAAAAAAGTTATAAAACATTTTTTTGCTGTCTTCTAGGGAACCACTTCCATGGCCGCGAAAAAAGAATGTGTAAGTTCATTGCATGTTTTTAGGTCAAAAAAGAAAAAAAAATTCACAAATTTTAAAGAACGACGGTTTTGAAGCCAAGCTTATTTTTCGTTCAATCAGATCTTTAGAATGACCTTCAAAAGTAAAGTTTTAAGTTTTTTCTTATCTAAAAATAGCTTGGAATGAACATTAAAAAAAATTAAAATGAGTTTTTAGTTCTTCTAAATTTTTTTAAAAATTGATTGGCAAAAAATTAAAAAAAAAAGATTAAAACCTTCTATTTTGTATGTAATTTTAATGGACCTGATAGTTCTTTTATCGAACGTGACTTTTCTTGAATTTTCTATCTCAAAAGCTTTAAAATTTTGTTACATTTATTTCTTCTCATTCTCGAGATATTTGATTTTGTCTATTTGTTTCAAAATAAAACACAGTGCAGCGGCGCCAACCATCCTTCTGAAACCAGGACAAGCTCTTTGTTCCTCTATTGCTTGGTTACTTGATCGAAATATATTTATCAATATCTTTACAGATATTTTTTCGAAGTTATTGACAAATATGTTTATAGATATATTCGTAGATACTACTACTAAATTAAACGATGTCATTGTCTTTCTACCCTCGTTCATTAATGATATATAGATTTATGTATGTTTTTATCGAAACCTTTCTCGGTATATTTATCAAAATCTTTACATATTTGGCACGAAATTCGTTGTCAATATATTTATCGAAATCTTTACAGCTATTTATATCGATATATATATCGAAATCATTTATGGTAATTGATGTATTTTACAACTTTCGAAATCATCGATAACTATGTCGTAGCGTCATCTACATTTGCCATTCTTACTAGTTACATTATCGAAATAATTATTGATATCTTTTTTGTAATCGTTAATAATTTTTTTAGATTATTTAAAAAAAAATGCATCTGACTCGTAACCGTAACCGTTTTCGTCCACTTTTTATTCGGGCTATCGATATATTTATATAAATTTGTATCGATATATTTGTCTACAGTGCTTTCGATATATATAAAAATCAGTATTGACATCTTTCTCGATACATTTATAGATTTTCGATATGATTATGGATAAACTCAGAACCGACCTCGTTTTTTTTTATTCGGTTAGTAATCGTACTGATACTCATAAGCGTATTTGCAATCGTAAACAAAATATAGGTATGTATTCGTTTGAATAGACTTCAGACAACAGAATGGCGATACGGTCATCTTTAACGTAGCTCTGGTCTTCTTTTCCATAAGCGATATGTTTGGAGATCACATCAATTACTTTTAAAACTTATTTACTGTCAAAAAAAAAAACCTTTTTCACCTTTTTATCGCTTTTTACGAATTCAGCCCCAATGTGCACTGTGCTTGCCTGCCAAGGAGCCCAACAAGTTGACGTTGGTATTGGCTTACCAATTGTCGCAATATCAGTCTTATGGAGTGTCCATCATTTTTGTCACGTTCAACTGAATTGCATTCGTTGCATTTCCCGCTCGCCGAGTCAGCATATTTTTCTTGTTGAACCATGCAGCTGCATTCGGCCTACATGGCGTATGAGTAACCAGTTTGTTATTTGTACAGCAATAAATCCATCGATTAGCCTTACAAATTTTCCATGCTGCATACAAATATTTGATTTGATCAAACAATTTTGGTTTATGATATCTTTCTCGTTTGTACTCCACAGCGTCGCTCAATCACTTGTGTACGTTTACGCCATCACACGCCCACCAACAACGCTTTGGAGTCGCATGTCGAGGCCGACATCGAGGTGGTTGACAACGCGTACTGCGCCGATTATGGCCTGATCATTCCCGACACGTTCGAAGTGTGCGGCCAGGAGGAGTGTGCCCGTTGGCAGGCTGGCGATTGGACATTGTGTCAGCGTGCACGTTGCTTCGGTCGCAATACAGCCATACAAAAGCGTGAAGTCAAGTGTCGCTATGCGAATGGCACAGAGGCAGCGGACGCCTGCAGTGTGTCACAGCGTCCCATTAGTCGACAGGAGTGCTATAGTGAACGTTGTAAGGGTGTTTGGCGTGTGGAGCCATGGTCGGAGGTAAGTAACACAGTGCATAGCATCGCATCCAATTCGGTTACATTGTCCGTTTTCACTTGAATTTAATTCTATTTACTTATGTATGTATATCGCGTGTTTTTTTTTTGTCACAATGTTGCAGTGTAATGCGCAATGCGGTCGCCAGGGAATTAAATACCGCATTTTACAGTGTGTTTGGTATGGCACACGACGACCGGCGGGCAATGCGTGTCGCCATCAGCCGCGTCCTGCGGTAATGAAAGTGTGCAAGAGTCCGCCCTGCTATACGAAGTGTGAGTAACAATTTTCACTTTTTAATTGTTTTTTGAAATTGAAAGTAAATGAATTATTGAGTTTACATTTTTAACTACGAACGTTATGTTATCAATTTAGGGAATCTAAAAGGTCTAGAAAGGTTGGCTTCTGACAGTGAGATTAAGAACAGTTAGGCATTATAAAATAAGTCTAGTTTGATAGACTAAAGCAATTGTCTAGGCGTGTTACTTCTTCACTTGTATATCACCACAGTGTCTCGAGCCATAATGTCATAGAGGTAAATAATATATTGGATAGATTTACCAGAAAGGTAGCGGGGACAATACCCCAAGTTTTTGAGCCCTTCTTTATTTGTAGTAGGAAAGACCACATACTAACAGATTAGAGCTTAGGCACGGTAAAATAATGATCAAAGCGAAAAAATTAAATGGTAAAAGATATGGGTAATTACTTGAACAGGTACGGATATTAGTGCGATTCTACGCGTAAACGCTCACTTAGCAAACTCGACATATTTACGAACGATTCGCACCGTTTTCTTGAAATTATTGATAGAACTTTTAATCGCTTGCGATTCGAATCGAACTACCTTACCGACCGAGACCGGGTCATTTAGAGAACCTACAAAAGGGTCTAACGGAACCGAAACTCGATTCCAAAAGACTCGAAAAACGGTTGCGCAAGGGTCGCAAAGTGGTCTCAGAAGCACCGAAAAAATAACTGAAATCCCATGCTGATTTTGACTACACATGTATTTGATTTACCAAGTGACTTTGTGCCACAGAAGTTCTAAAGGATATTTAATTCAAAATGTAGAAGTACTTTTCGTATAAGATATTAATTAAGATTAGGCCGTTGCAGTAACGGAGTAAGTTATACGTGCGTATTTTCACTCACCACGGCCGCGGCCCGGGCTTCTAGTTATGCTTAGTCCAAGCAAGAATGGTAGGCAATGACATACATATCTCTGAACGGTTTTCTGCCACAAAAAAAGCATTTCATAAAGAAAGTCAACTGTCGTTACTCCACAAGGAGTAAGGTCAAACACAAAGCAACAAATATTAATTTCCTTTTTTTTTTAAAGGTCTGTAAAATTCCACTTATGCTTGAGTTATAGTATACAATTTCCGACGAACTTTTGTATATAAAATGCAAGGTGAAAGTCAGACTCTTTTTGTATTCTCGTAAATTCATTTCTATTTAATTTCTATTCTTCAGCTTTTGATCAATGCAAGGACACTTCACGATATTGCCGCAATGTACGCTCGATGGGTTTATGTCGATTACATCGTTACCAAGAGAAATGTTGTAAATCTTGCAAATTCAATGCTTACTACAATTAACGACAACTCTATTATTGGAAAAAGCTGTAAGCGATAAAGTTTGCGGCTATGGCTGTGTGTGAGGTAGAGATCGGTAAAAAAAAAGAGAACTCGTTGGTGTAGTAGCAAAGCTAAAGCATCAGGAGTTACAATAACAAACTCACACAACACCACAAAAAAATATAAAAATGAAATAAAAATAAGTCAGCAGCATTCATCGCGAAAATCACGAAAGAGGAAGGAAACGAGTCAGCGTTCGACCACTACAACTACCACAAAACACAAAACACAAAAGTAAGATAAAGTAATCATAATAAATAGTGATAGGATTAAAGGAGACTTCATAGCGATTCGTAAAACCGAAGAGGGGGTCATTAAATAAAAAAAAACAAAAACGAAAACCTTGTATGCAAACCAAAAACTAATTGAAGCGAATGGTTTGGCAGCAATGGCAGACAAGCAAATTACTACAAAATAATCTATTTATTATAAATAGCAATAAATAAATTGAATGCATACAGAGCGCGCAACTAAATAAATGAAAGCAAATTCAAGTGAAACTAACTAAGGACACTTTATATGAATATACAAAATAAAACAAAAACATATTTACATAAGTGCATAAATACCTTAGTAATAACAACAATAAAACAGCAAAACAAAAACGAACAAATGAACGTAGTGAAAGGGCAAATAACGCAGCGTAAATAGGCGAGCAGGCAAGACAACAAAAGACCACATATACACATACACAAAAAGGCCTCACATACATACTACATGCATAACAACAAAGAATGCATATATAACTACATAATAGAAAAAATTCTATACAAAAAGTGAAAAGCAAATAAACATGAATGCACTTTAAATTAAATATACAGTTATATACTATATGTATTAATGTCAACATATACGGTGGCAGGCCACCAAATAGGGGCGCGACATTTTAACAAGGTTTGCCTGCTTCTTTCTTATTATTTAATTTTAATTGCTTTTTGGTAAAAGTATAGCTCTCTATATAACAAAAATCAAGTTAGTAATTCAAAATTTGAAAATTGTAGAAGATTTCCAACTTTTTATACAGATTAAAAATAAAAAACAAACTGGGTATGCAGTTTTGTAGCCCATTTTAGTAGAAGTACCATGTTTGACCGAGCTTTGCATATACTTTTAAAGCTTTCAAGTTTTGAGTATCAAATATTGGCCATTTGGATAGGTTTAAAAAGTATATTTTGGATATAAATTCAAAAAAAAAAATTGGCCTCTGATATCTTACAAAGTAAGTAAATTTCCTACATTGAAAATTAGGTGGAAACCCTATTTAGTAATACGCTGGGAGGAAGAGTCCATATCTGGAGCGTATATGTACTGTGTATACATACAAAAAACACTCACTGAAATTAATTATACTCAAATTTGTATTACAAAAACTAAATGTGGCAACACTGATCAAAAATAATTTCGGACTAAAGTGCTCAAAACTATCCCTCATTTTATATCAATATTGCGGTGTTTTAGTTAAATTTTGTAGAATCGTAAATAAGTGGCAACCTTACACTAATATCCCAAGGGATAACACTTAGTTAGAATTGTTTAAGAACATTTTTTAAGTATCCGTAAATAGTAAAATTACACCATTATTTTCTAAACAACAAATTAAATAAATATACAATTGAAAATAGGTGGCAAACCTGTTCAAAAATATTTCCGATTTGCGGGTTTTTAAAATAATTTCCATTTTTATGGGTATATGATGGTTTATTTAATTTGTAACTAATTTCAAATAGGTGGCAAACCTATACGAGTATTCAAAATCGGTACAGCCGTTTCCGAGAGAGCTATGGATATATTCATACACGCATGCATACATATGTATGTATTAGACTGGGTCGATTTTGTATGGGGGAAAATAAAAGGCATTTGACCGTATTGTAATAGTAATATTATGATGTCTTAGGTCTAAGCTAATTGTTATTGGCTACGAACGACAAATTTACAATTTATCTTTAGCCCGCGCAATTGAATCAAAGTGTGTGAATTTTGAAAATGAAACTTTGGCTTGTAATATTTATGGAATGCGTTAATTGTTATAAACAAGACGATATATCAAATTAAGGGTTATTATATTTAGTACCTAACGTTCATTTATCATTTTTCAATAAGTCTACAAGTTTTTAAGTAATTAAGATAAAAATAACAAACACTATAATTTTCTCTTATGAATTTTCAATTCTTCATTACTTCAGCAACCAAGTGAAAAATAAAAAAAAGTGAGATGGACGATATTGCTTTGCACTCAGCTTGAACGAAAAAAGTCACTCCCTGGCACACTTTTCTGTAATCCGGTTCTTTTATTGAAACGTTATTTATCCAATTGAAGAGAATTGTTAAAAAAAAAACTGGAGATTCACTTAAGTTTTTCGATATAACTTTGGTAACTCGACCGGTACGTAGTAATTACCAAATTGAAGGCGAGACTTACTGTTACTGATTTATGATAATAATATGATGAAAATCGTTCAGAATATAAACTAATTGTTTAAAAAAAAAATAAAATATTTAACAAAATTTTTTGTAATTTTCCTATATTTGCAATTTTTATATTGTACGCATAAACATAAATAAACTAAATAGTGTTTCTAGAAGTTGTGCCTGTTCAATGTTTCCATACTCATTTGCATAAACAAAATTTTTCCACGATGATGGAAAATAATGGCTTTTCTATTAGAACTACCGAAATTGTTCCTAAATTTGCAAAAGTTCGCAAACTATAGCTAATATTAAAAAAGATTAGAATATTTGGAACCAGCGAGAAATGATATTTGACTTTATATTTTGCGTTAACGGATTCATTATCTAATAATATGCACCAACCCTTTTTGCTGAACCCAGAATTTTCAACATGAATTGGTCTTATTCGACTAGTTTGCTGTGGGTCACTTGGCGGTAGATGCGCGGGCTCTTACAATTAAAATAAAAGACTAATATTTTGCAAGCTTGTTTTTGACTTCATGACACAATATATTTTCACTATTACCAAGGGATTTGAGAAAAATTAGATTTTCGATCCGCCCTAGTATGTATGTCTGTATATATTTATACGACAAAATGCAAGTTTAAAGTTTGCTAGGACTTACCGTTAATTTTTGACATTTTTGCTTTGCTAACGGTGTGTGCATTTTCCTCCATATAAAACAAATTGTCAAATATTCTTTACATGGAAGCAAAAAAAATGTCAAATCTCATTGGTAGCTAGTTAAAACTTGCAATTTTTTTACAAAAATTGAATGGGCCACCAAACTACATACCAAATTTTGTTTCGAAATATTCTGATTAAAAAGTTGGAAACTTTGTCGAATTTTCCCAATTTTTAACAAAAGTTTGCAATTCGGACTTGTATGGCTTTTGTTAAATAGTGAGCTTTATTTTCATAAAAAAGGTAATAAACATTAAATCAAACAAAACAAAACTTTTTAAAATAAATAAATATCGCGTGCCTATTTGTTTGCGCGCCACTGTATGCACGCATGCACTGGTAAATGCGTGAATACGAATTGTTTGTACATTCTTATGTAAATATAATTATTTATACGAAGAAAAATTGCGCATTCTTTAGCTTATTTTAAGTGAAAGTAACTTTAAAAAGTAATAATACTTAAGTGTATATTATTTATTAAGTTTTTTTAAGTTCGTTGGAGCCAAAGTTCCACAAGGCGAAAGTGAATGAAATCGATATTAATTTTTGATCCTTTCGCTTAAGGAATATGTATGTATGTGGGCAAATCTAAAAAACAGGTAACCTTGGTGTTTTTTAGCTTTATTTTCACTGTTGGAAACTATATTTACTTGAAGCCTCAAAAAAATTTGGATCAATTTGCCGCATAACTTTTGAATTATAGGTGTTTAAATAAAAAATAATAATGAAAACAAGTGAATTTTTTATGTAATTTTTAAGAGGTGAAAAATTAATTATGCCATAACTTTTGAAGCACACCATATACTGATTTGAAATTGTATGTGCAATTAGTACTTATGTGTACACTTCAAATGTAGTAGGTAAGAAAAATGTGCATTAAAAAATAACGAAATTGCAAGTAACTCAAAGTCTGTAATTCCACATTTCACAATTTTCAAAATTTTCGGTTTATCGCGTATAGTTTTTGAAGCATTTAAGTTTAAGAACTTTTTAAGTATGTATTGAGTTATTGCGCAAAAACACATATCTGAGTAATCAGTTGTATTGGAGCTATATGTTAATGTTAACCTATTTCGATAATTTTAAGGAATAATTAAGGTAATATTGAAAAACTGTTATGTGCAAAATTTTAGTAAAATAACTTCAAAATTGAGGGAGTTATTTATAAAATAGTTAAAATTTAATCAAATTTTCAAGTACCGTTATCTCGAAAACCGGAGCCAATCTGGTAAAACAGGGCATGCCATTGAATTTAGAACATCCCAGTTAAGTGAGTTCAACTTTCAAAATCTTTCCTCAAAGTTTACAACTTGAACAGCGTAATTTCAACCCAGCTTATTCTTTTGTTTTCTATTTCATGCTTATTCCTCGTCTAACTTTTGAAGCACTTGATGAATATGAATTACACTTATATTAATAGATTTATTAAGAGATTACGAATAAAATGATATATAAAACATAGGTGTGCTCACAAATTTAAAAATTAAAATTTTTTGTTTGAAAGTGTACCTATTTTTTAGATTTGCCCATGTACTTTTGATTTTCTAATTTGAGGAATTATTAATCAAAAAAATGGACATTCAATGAAAATTGAAAGTAACCGCAGGACAAAATACATTTGCCTTTTTTATACATACATATATTTTTATGTACATATGTATATACATATATAGGTCGTTCAATACCAAAACGGACGGGATTCACACTTCATGTGTTTGATTTGTTTCAAATTTTTAGGGTTAATGCGTAAACATAAATAATAAATAAATATGAAATTTCAGCTCAATTAATACATTTTTCAAAACTTTACAGCACCAAACCAAAAAACAAAACAAAAAAAATAGATTTAGTAATTTTCCAAATATCTCGAGAACGGGGCGAGGAAAGAATTTGAAAAAAATCACACATACACACATCAAACTTCTCTATGAAAAGAAATGTTTAAAAAGAAAAAATTTCTTGAAAAATTTTTCACATACACATTTTTTTATATAAAAAAAAAATAGTTTTTGAAAAGATGCTGTCTCAAAAAAAAAATTTTTTAAAATCACAATGGTAGCTCTGAGTATTGCGCAATATTTAAGTATAGCATTATGGGGTGCACTCTACAATAATTTGAGCTATGATTTAAGTCGTTTACAAATATACAAATTTTTTTAATTTTTTTTAGAATTTTTATGAGTATGCAGTTTGTAGCCCATTAAATTTTAGTGCAAGTTTCAAGCTACTGCAAACTGCTACTGACGGATTTTGCATTTCTTTCTTATGGAACAAAATTCGCAAAACCGTTTTGCAATCTCTTAAAACTTGCACTTAATTTTACTAAAATTTACAAAACAAAACTACAAAACTGCATACTCAAAAAAATTCTAAAAAAAAATTTTTTTAATTTGTAATGTACTCATTTTACTCAACTTTGGCGTAACAAAAAATTCATAACTGAAACTATTCTTGAGTGCACCCCTCGCAATACTCAGAGCTAGATTGTGATTATGCATATTTTCAAAAACTAATTTTTCAAGAAAAAAATTTGTTTAATATTTCTTTTCATAGAGAATTTTGATGTGCGGTATTTTTTTTCCTCGTCCCGTTCTTGAGATATTTTGAAAACTATTAAATCGATTTGTTTTGTTTTGTTTATTTATGCTTATGCATCAACCCTAAAAATTTTAAACAAATCAAACACATGAGGTGTGAACCCGATCCGTTTTGGTATGGAACGCCCCATATATAGGTATGTAAAAGCTATGCACTTCAAGTATTAGATACATATGTATGTATATTATTTAAATTATGTATT